GCCTTTTAAATACGAAAGTTTTACCACTTATTCTTCATTACATATTACCCAATATTTTTTTAATAATAAAACGCTAGTTCATAATGAGCAAATATATGCAAATTTTAGTCTGACTATGCTGTGCATTATCCATAACCTACCATTATTAAATCTAATGCATGATTATTGACTAATTTTTGTATTTAGATGAAAAAACACGTGAAGCGAAGCAGCCACCTGTGCTCGATAAAAGCCGTTGTTTTTCGTCTTCGCCCAACGAACAACAAGCCTCTTTTCGTCAACATCATCAGCAACAGAAACAGATGCATTCCTCCACCTGCAAGTCCTTTCCTTCGAATGTATCTTCATTGTCCTCACATGGTATCGGCACGGAGGCTAACTACAGCGCCTACAGTACTATGAACACCGATATCAGCATGTCTTCCAATTCTACCAGTACCGCCGGACCCAATGGTTCGGTAAGTGGTGGCATTGGTGCGCTCTTGAAGTATATACAACAACAGCAACAACATCCTCATCATCCTCTTCATCATCAACAAAACCACCAGCCACACTCGACCTCTGCGGTTTATCAAGAATATTCAAATGCCTACTCTCAAAATCTTCACGCTCAACATCCGTATATACACACGCCACGATACCTACAATATGACCAACAACAGCGACAGTGCAAAAATCAACAAATATCTCGATGTGCAGCTTCTGACTCTGGCAATACTCTTCTAATGCCCTTTAGTTATATAACCAATTCCACTCCTAACACCACAATTGGTGATGTTAACGTTGTTCCACCTTTCGCCTGTATTTCGGCCTTCTCTTCTACTGGTACGACTTCAGAAAATCACCTTTCTCGCGTTAGCTGTGAACCTGGATCCTCTGGTGCTGGGAAGAATACTCTACAATTCGGTCTTTTAGAATCTGGCACCCTAGTATCAGGCCGGTCTTGTGGTAGTGGCACACGCAGCAACAGTGCTGTTGCTCGGTACTCCTGGACAGAGAGCCAGCCTTCTTTCGATATATCCACCTCCGGAGATGCAATTCAAGCACGCACTACTCTTCCTTTAAATACAGCTTTGCAGTCAAACGATGGAAAGTCCATGATTTCGCAGCTCCCTACTTCAGAATCGCAATTAGATGCTCCGAGATTTTCTATCTACTCACCAGTACCTCCTTGCATGGACGAAGCTAGCGCCTCATTACCTCCAATTCCTCCGGTTTCCAGTCCATCTTACTGCTCTTCGCAGTCACCACAGGTTTCTTCTCTTTCCTCAGCAGCCTATCTCTCTCATGGAAACTCTTCTGAAGCTACGTCACATTTAAATTCTGGTCAGCAAGTATCAGGACTGACTGGACTTACCATTCAACAACGGGCCCGCGTTGCTTCGGCGGCACTCAATAGAGATGGATTTAGACGTCGCCACTCACCTTCACCTAAACGTGAATCTGTCCACCTGGCTGGCATCACAGTGCCCGTGTCAATGACGAGCACAAGCTACAGTAGTCCCACCAGAAGCTTCAGTAATGCGGCAATTAGCATTCCCGTGACCACTTCGATCGAATCGGCTCAGTCAACGATCGGATCGTCGAAGACTTATACCACAACTGATTATACTATCTGTTCTGGTTTTCAAGTTCCAACCACCTCACTTGGAGCTCGATCACTGACGACTGTCTCCTATACCTGCCCTTCGAGTCCGACCAGACGTGGTCGGTCTGATGATGTAGTACCGTCAAGCCGCCCGATACATTTAGATGACCTGGAAAGCGTTCCAGTCGGGCATGTAAAACAGTTGAAAGAGCGTCTCGCGTCCATAGTCAACAGTAAACGCACTTCACATGTAAACGACCTAGGCTCTGCCGTTGCATCACCTGATAATGTAGTTCAGTCTGGCCATCGCATAGGCAAGTTTCGTGATCCTCAATTTGATTGTTTACAATCGTCTAACCATGCTCGTCAAAATTACTTGGATGTTACGCAACAACAACATCATCTTCAGAACCACCGATGCAATCTTCTACACCAACGACCGGTGCAAACTAACAGCGTATCCGGAACAGAAACACCAAGTCTCTCATCTCTCTCTACCTTGTTTACATCTAATAATTCGCCATCAATTATCTCCACTGCTCCTCCATTCTGTTCCACAAATTCGGCTACTGTAGCCACTTTGGCCGGTGTTTGCTCTGTAACCAACCTTTTTGCCTCACTCGCCAGATCCACAGCATCCGACTCTGGCCGCAGTGGAAGTGTGGGTAGCCGTGTTGCCGGAAATCAGGAGGCCGCTGGATTTGTAAAGTTAAATAGTTCCACCTGCGATCTCACTAAAATGGCTGGACCTGATTTGACTATGTTCACTTCTTCCTCAAGCAGCCTTCCTACTTCATATCTTGTCTCGTCTCTTTCCACACCTCCCATACCCCATTATCAACCGATTCCAACATATTCATTCTCACCATCTACTCCATCCCATCCCTTTCCACCCCCGCCGATGCCACTTCCACCTCCTCCTTTTCTACTCCCCTCAACTAAACTAGGTTCATTTCACATTGCTGGGGGACATTTAACCCATGGTATCTCCAGCACGAATCCTACTGGCGTTACCGAACACTCGGATGGACCAAAAACGACGAGATCGTGCGCCCGACATAATCCAGCCATTTCTGAGCAACTTACGTCGCCTCAGCACTTTGGCCAGCCTAGTCAGTACATCTCTCGGCGGGCCGCGCTGCTCTGTCAGGCTTTCACACGCTCTTCATCTACCCCTCCGCCTCTATCCTCTGCATCATCTCCACCGCTTCCACGCCCTCCTTCTGTTTCCACTTCACCATCTGTACAAGCTACAACTCCACTCTCTTCCCCACCCTCTTCTCCAATCTCTGTAGTTTCCTCCGCTTGCCACCGCCATAGCTATCAACAGTATCCTCACCAAGCTCACCAACCATTTTCTCCTTCACAACAATCCTCTGCCTCTTTTATGCCGCATCGCTCATATTCATCCGGACCTCCACTCCTGACCACACCACCTATCTCCCCTCCTACCACGTTGCCCATACCAGAATCTACAATATATCCTTTACCACATTTAGGGATTGATTCCTCAAACCATTCTTGTAATAATCTTACAGCTCCTTGCCAAAAGCCAATTCTAACCAAATCCCGCTCCTCTGGCCTTGCTCAGTCAGTCCCAAGTCAGTTTAATTTAAACACTAATTCACTTTTTAGGCCACAACCAGTCAGTTCTTGCGTTTTGGCATCACCTGACTCCCGGCCCCCAAAGTCCTCAAATATCACTTCTTTTCCGATATCTTCAAATGAAAACCATAATAACTCGAGGCATTCTTTTCCTTCTAACTCCCGTAGTACCACAAATAAGCTAGATTCCATCCTTACGTCTATATCTCTTCAGCAACCACTACCACTAGCTTCTTTAGGACCTCTTTCGCCCCCACTTCTCTCGCCTCATCATTATCAAACTCTTGTACATACAGACTCAAGCGCCCAAACTCCTTCCATTACTGAATCAATCGGCAGGAAAATGAAGAGGCAGCTTGAGTCTGAGTCACATGGTCTGGATAAGGCATTACGAGACAAGGCAGGCTCTATTTATTCCTGATCGATATGTGATTGGTATTGCTTTTTATTCTATCAAAATATTGCCCTAGCATGCTATAAATAAGAGCTTAATCACATTTAATTTTCATTTTAATACTCTTATTGATCTCTTCGGTATAATGCTTTTTCAGTTGAACACGTAAATCCTTCTCATATATTTATAATCACGAACACATTCAATAATAGTTGTAGTATCAGCAGCAGTAGTGGTAGTTACAGCAGCTTTATTTCATTTTAAGTAACACCTTAAATTTCACCGCTTGAAAATGAATGTGACGCCTGTGCACTTTTGCTTTGGTTTATTTATACGCGTGGAACCGAGCTAATTTGATGTTATGAACCAATATGAATGGCTTATTACAATATTCTGGATAATATTGATGATATATTGAAGTAATTTCATTTCGTTTGAAGAGGCGAGTGGAAGGGGTTCGTAAGTTGGTTCCACCGGAGGCTGTTAAGGGAGTTGTCTTGGAACTGTGGTTGTAGATTTGTGCGAATAGGTCATCGGTGCACCGCCCTCCGACCCCGATAAATACTTGCTGAGCTTTCGTCCGTCATGTGACGGACACCATGATTAATGATAACTCATCGAAACACGAAGAC